GAACACTGAGTAACTAACTTTCAGAATACACTTGCTTAGATTACTAGTTTCCACTAGTTCACAACCATCACACAAACTACTGCAAGCTTACCGACTCTTTCAGGTATCCTTGTCCGGCAACATCATATAGACTTAGGCCTATTCTGGTTTGATGAAGCCAAACTGAAAAGAAAAGTCCAAACTCAGATACTGTAATGGCAATGTGGGATTCAATTTAAACATTATCATCCCCCTAAAATGCCTTGTTATTCACTAATCTTTAAAAATTCATTTCATTCCCTTACCATTTTCCACACAAACTGTGTCATAAAATGCTTATTAGTATTGAAAAATAATCAGCCCAGGATAATTATGTGCTACAGCCAATGAGGTACAAACGGTACGGTAAGCTATGTCACACTATGTTGGACTCATATTCATAATCAAAGTGATGTAGTGAAATGCTGACTATCGCCAACAGGAAAATGAAGCTACTAGGCTAAGCCTTGTTTGTTTGTTTTTCAGAAGGTTAAAGTACATTTTCCGTATTTACAATGATAGTTACCCACAGCTCTTTGTTTTGAAAAGGAAAGACTAATTTACTTGGCCAGTTGTAATCTGCATGCACTGTTTTTAGCTTCCACATTATAACAATAGGTTCAATACAGCTTTGCTTTATCAACCTACCTTTTCGCATGACATAGTTAAAAAACTGCATGATAGAGATCCTGAAATTTTAGAAGTGATGATAAAAGAAATTTTATAGAAAAAAAGTTATTTCAGCATTATGATCTCAAAACTATTGAGCTACACTGTACAATTGAGTGTAGTATTTAAAGTGCCTATGAAACCAAATGAAAAAGTTGCCTTAAATAGCACTTGGTATTGATAAATTAAATGCTTTGACACTGCACATTTTTCCATTCTACTGTACCTTGGTTTACTATTCTTCCTTGACCTTCACAAAGATATGCAACAGTGGGAGACATTTGCTTACATGACCATTTTGATTTCAATAGATAACAGATAACGTGGTCTGTGCATTTGGTTCTAAAACGCTTTTATTTGTCTTAGAAATTTTATATTCATCTGTTGAATCTCTCCATTTTTCAAAATAAAATGCTTGATCAGTCATGGCAATGGGAATGTTTATGTGATGTTTTACTCCCTCACCTCCCAAAAGGATCCTGCTGAAATAATTTGGCAAAAACAGTTGCACTGAAGAAGGGCCTGTCATGAAAAAAAAAAATGAGAATATCTTAGCAAACTACCACGCAAAAAGGCAAAATTATTTTCCTTGCACACTGTATAGTGTTACTACCTGCATTTTTCACCAGCCTCTCCAGCAACTTTTAAGAAGTCTTCATAGTTGATCATCTAAAAAACGACAGCACACAAACAAAACAAAGCAAAGTTCTTTCAGTTAGCAACAAAATAATATTAAACATTATCACTAACATTGTACTAAAATGACTTCAAACTAGCCAAGGTAACAATCCCTAGATATTTTATTGCCAAAAATGATTGAAAAAAACAGAATCATAAATGATGACATTTCTATTTCAAAAGATGCTTTATAGACAAGTACCAATGCAATATTGCTACATGATAGAAAAAACATGTTTACAAGTCCATTTACAATGGCAATAATTGAAAAATATTTGGTTGATTTAATCTAGTAAACTTTCTTAAATTAATACCTGTTCATCTCCAAACACAGGTGGTGTATGATGTTTATCGAGTAAAAACCACAGGTTCTAAAACAGGACAGGTGTAATTAGCAAAATCATGAAATCACCACAAGAAAATCAAAAGGGCAAATCAAATGTACAAATGGATAAATGATATAACTAATCAGAACAATTAAAACAATGCGACAGTGTACAGTCAAACCTCTCTAATACGGAGACCGAAGAGACAAAGTGTTCGTATTAGAGATGTGTCTGTATTCACTATTGGCGAGGTCACTATTGTTTTGAACTTTACAAACTCTGAACTCACCCCTCTCGCCTTAGTACGACTTTTTCTCCACGTGCATAACTTCAGGTGGTTTTAACTAGCCAATCGTGGCTCAGAGTGTGCTCACGCATACATTTGAACATCGCTGTTGTAATTTTGCAGATTTCCATCTTTGTTGTATTTTCTTGCCGTGTTTAAGATTTTAGGCCAGCCTTACTGCTGTTTTTGGAGTTTAGAGTCTAGCTTCTTCACTGTTTTTAGCCATTGTGATTCGTCGTTTATTGTGTGTGCCGGATTACGTGGGTGGTTCATTAAATAGTTCACTTATTAATTTGGAGTTTAAGCCTACAACTCACTGAATACAATTCCCAACAATTATGATGACATCATGTTAAGTCTCCACTGACAGTTTAGAGTATTAAGTAACTAAAATCATGCCCAAAAGTGACATTTTGGCATGTTCTGGTATTGGTATCAATTCGTGTGAATGTTTCTGTAACTGCCAACAGGAAATGGCACATACTGCAAATTATTGACACCTGGTCCCTGGAGTGTCCATAATAAAGAGGTTTAATTTCTGTGCATTTGCTTCCCAGGGCCAAGATTTAGTGTCCGTTGTCTGTTTTAGAGAGGGTCTGTAATGTTTATGAGGTTTTTTGAGAGGAAATGCATGAGAATGTTGTTGGTACATGGGAAACTGTCCATATTAGAGAGGTGTCCATATGGAGAGGTTCGACTGTCCATGATAAAATATTTTCCAACCTGAAGTTCATCATTGTCAAGGAGCTCTCTACTTTTCCTCTGAAGAAATACAGCTCTTGACTCCTCTCTTAACTTCTGTAACAAAACCTCATCTTCTGAAGGAAGCTAGAGAGTAGAGGAGAAGAAAACATTACAGTGTTGGTCCCTATTACATAACTTGCCTAATGCCCATCTATGAACACTGCTAGCTGCATTAATTTGGAGATCAGATCAAGATCTGTGCTTTATGAAAAGGGATCCAAGAAAGAGATGTTGGGGGATTAAAGAATTGACAAAAAAGGTCACTTTGTGATTTTCTACCTCAGAGACCACTTAGAGAGGCTAAACTGTGCTTATGTCGCTAACTGTGTTTTACAACAATCTTTTGATTTAAAAAATTTAAGATTGAACAGGCTAATATATCATTTTTTTTATGGATTTTTATGTGCTTTTTTTTTTTCTCATCGGTTTATGAGTTGGTGTGATGCCTAATTACTTAATTAAGATGATGATAATGAAAGCAAACCATCCAAGGGACAGGTTTAAGATGTAGGCAGTTTAATTTGTTATTACTGAATTTTCTGCCAGAAGTTGATTCATTTTCATGGAAGTGGCATGCATCATTATAGCTACTCGTACAGTGTGTTACAAGTTAGTTTGAATCACATGTAACGTGTCAAAATTCATCTACCTTGAAATAAAACCTGGGAATAGCATCATAGCTCTTGGTTTTGACTTTTCCAGCTCCTTTCCATTCATTGTAGTATTTGGTAAAAAGTTCTGTCTCACTGGGAGTACTTTGATCTAGATCATCGGCTTCTACAAAAATTAACAAGGTAAGGTAATAGAGTGGCTATTAAGTAAAAGTGGTGCAGAAAATGCACTAATACTGCTTCGAAAAGACGAAAACACTGGTTAACCGAAAGCGGCGAAAAATATTGTAAATCATTGTACTTTCTTCTTTCTCCGCCTTCTTCCTCTCGTTAAACCTTCGTAGCGATTCAGCCCATCCTGTTGCACTCATTTCACTGGGTAAAGCCTCATGAACTTCTAAAATGAAAAATAAACTCCAAAAAAATTTTCTTCCCTGCTCCCGCCATGTTTTATTTTAGAAGATGACGAAGTTGCAGCGGATTATGGGATTGAAGATAAGGAGGAAACTGGGGACAAAGGCGTCATGTAAGAGGAATTAAAAGTCACGGGTGGTCGTGTTTGACCAGAAGTATGTAAATACCTTCACCTCCGGCTCTGAAACAACTTCAGGATAAGGCTTAAACCACTTCAAGTTTTTACACCGAGCCATTCTTGAAAAGCACGCGATAATTTGTAGCTTAGAGAAACAAAACGTGGCTAATTGAAAGAAATCGGAAATAACCAATAGCTAAGCTTTCTGAAGATGTTCACCGCGTCAAGCACGCGCTTTCACGTGCATGTCAAAGCAGCTAAATAGTTTCTTAAGAAATATTTAAAGATCTCAATTAGTCTTTCCGCTATTCAGGTTTCATTTAGGTAAGTGTGGCTTTAAAAGCCAATTTTTAGAAATTTATATTTCAATCATATCGTAGCCGAGACGCCGAGACTATTTTTTAATTATTTTTAGCAAGACTAAGCGCTTTAAAAAAAGGTCCCAAACTGTGATAAGTAATAATCAAAGTGCTCTTGATCACGCAGGCGTGATGATAGCTAAATGATTTTGAAGATAAATTAGAACCCCAAGTCGCTTTTATTGGTGATTAGGAAAAGAAAAGTTGACTGCAAGTTCTGTTAGACGATGGAAAGTAGACCAGCACGAAGAATAACGGAGCGGAAGCAAGGCAGACGCCACGAGATTAAGCTGATATGCGCTAATAAGCTTTACTTTGTTCCCTTTTACAGCCAGTTTGTCTAGTATAGCTGCTTTCTGTTAATGTCGATCGTGCCTGGCAAATGGTAGAACTGCATGTCTACCTGTAACGTCTGTAAAATTTGTCGGATTGATTCACCAGGAGTCTCCCGGATACAGACCGAATTCACCGGTCTCCCGCGGTGATCAAAATATATAAATACGAAAGAAAATGCTTAGAGTGCACTGTTTCCGACATATTTTCGATTTAGAGCGAATTCGGGGACGAGAACTAGGTTGGTTGTTGAGTCTTTATGCTAGAATCAGCTAAGCTTGTTTTGGTGTTTGGCGATTTTTGAGACCAGAAAAAAAATACCAGTACCTTCACGCAAAATTGAAGATCTACCGGATCATTTGGATCCTTTACGCTGACATCACTGTAGAAGGGTCGCTACACAAGCGCCGGACAGTATTGCACAGTAAGTAAAGACAGAATGCACATTCCTTGCTAGGTATATAGTGTTTATCTGCCCAACGTGTTAAGATCAGCATTACCCATAAAATATACTGTTAATTATAACTATCAGAGTTACTGATAATTTCTTAGCTTCAGTTGTCTGGTACCCGTTTGAAATCAATGTTAGATTTCGCTGTAACAGCTGCGTTGTTGTGGAGGTATCTGGTAAGCGTTTAGACAACTACAACCCCAGTTATACAATGTATAGACATTCCTTGCCGTGGAAAAAAAACTATCAAAACATGTTTAGACCTATCACGTGACATAGATCTGTACCAATGGCTAGCTGTCGACCACAATGACTCGAAATGACAAACCGTTTAAAGGAGCTATGCTTAGTTATTAAAATCGTTGTTCTAATCATTGAACAAAATTACTTTCAAATTGAAAGAAACCGCAGAATGGCAGTTTTCTAATTAAGATAGAAAAGCATTACAGACAGAAGTAATAATAGACCAGAATAAACAAGAAAAAACGGGGAAGGGATTATAGAAAGACTGACAAATCTCACTTAATAAAAGCTTCTATGACTTCTTGTACGACGGCTGTATAAACACAGTGGTGAATTTAGTCAAAATAAAGTTAAGCCCGACAGGCTCTTAGCCCTCGACGCCTAACTACAGTCTCTGTAGCATGAATCAGCTAAGAGTATTTCTCCCCCACCCCCC